ATCGGGCTCGATATATGGTTAAATATAGCAGTAGGCTATCGATTTTCATAGATGAGAGTAACATCTACGTCACTTTACGGCCCCGCCCACTTTTGGGGGAAACAACGGCTGTCATTTGAATGGCGATCGAGCCTGAAGCCACAGAGATCTTCTGTTACTGTCCTTTCTTCTTAGAGGAAGTACAGAAACACGTAACTCTGGATTTGTTATAATGTTTGAGGTGCAATAAACGACACAGCAGCTTTTTGGCATGATAAAACTATTATGTTTCGCATTACTCATGAGAGTAACAGTTGGAGAAATTAGAGCCTCGCCTACTGATTTTAATTTAACCATATATCAAGACCGATTGTCGATTACCAATGATCGAATGTAATTGTTTGCCTGACTGGCCATCGTAATCGAGCTCTTTGAAGATCCAAAAATCCACTGTTTTCAAAAAAAATTGATCGGATGGGCAAAAACTTCAGAATTTGTATTGACCGCCATTCAAATGACAGCGTTGTTTTCAAAATTGGGCGGGGCCGTAATTTTTGCCCGGAAGTGACGTAGGTGTTACTCTCATCTATTGCTGCCCTGTAAATAGAAACGAAAGACACAGAAATTATTATAAATGTAATCATGCCATACATACCTCAAACTTATTTAAAACAATTACTTGTGACTGATGATAACTGACCAAAATACAATTTTTGTACAAATTAAATGTTGTACCAAGCAGCTGTGTATGTAAATGTATAACTATTACTTTTCCTTGTTTAATAACTTATATATATATATATATATATATCGCCTATATACATTTAAATAAATATATATAGATCACTTTGTTTATTTTTCATTGTGTATATAACGTACTATTATGATATTGTAATATTGTACATTGTTTTATGTAGAGACATATTTTGTTCACTGAAATAAAATACATGCATAAATGTATCAACCTGTGTTTATTTTGGTGCATTTCCAAGACTTGGTTGGCGATTAGACTTTTTACAGCTTGAGTACAGAGCTAAATAAATATGTAAAACGCTTATGTTTCCTGCCCAGGTCTGCATGCCTGTTTTCTTTATTAGACAAGCTCTGTTTTCTTTAGAATTCAATCTGATGCTGGGTTGAACTAAGGATAATTCTAGTTAATCTGTAATTTTTCACATCAAATAAATCTAAATCCTTTTCAGATAAAGAACCAAAGTTTGATTAAATACCTTCAAAGGACGTTTAACGGTCACATGTGGTTAGCGTAATGTTTTTCTGTGTAGCTTCTTGTGACTCTTAAAATGAAGACATGTCTGCTGGTGACCAAGTTCTGGTCTCAATGTGGACAAATTGTGAGTTTAAGATTTTCAGGCATGAAAATCTTAAGTGTGCAGGAGTTGACATTAAAAGTGTCTTTCTTATCTTTTTCTTTAACACTGGAATAAAAAGTTTACTTCACATAAGGTAATTTTGCTAAATGGTTAGACTTCTTTTTTTTTAATGTGATGAAAATCTGGTGGTAAAACAATAATTTAAAAATAATTTTCCACTTAAATAAACTTGTTACATATGATAAAAAACGTTTTATAAACAAGCATGTGTCTTGAAACCAGAAAAAAGGCAAGACAAGTTTAACTTCATTTTATATTGAAAGATTTATCTATTGAAAATAAGTGATGAGTTTTCTAAGCTTTTCATAAAACAGTCACCATGAACTTTTGGAATATAACATAATAAAATAACATTATAAAGATAACAGTGTTCTCTCCCTTGCACTAAGATGTTTTCAACATTTCAACATAGGAATAGATTACTCATCTGGAATTCTCCTTACCTCAAAGGGTCCAGCTCTGTCTCAATGTCTGTTATGTTGTCATTAAACAGATACACAATCTAAATATTCCCGAAAATGTTTGATGCAGGCCGAAATGTCTTAACAAAATATGAACATACAATAATAATAAAAACAATTGAATTAATTATATTCTCCTCCTATCAACATCGACGACTTTTTAAACACCACATTTTAAATAAAGTTTGATTTTGTATGAAGCAACACATCTGACAATTCGTTAAAGAATACCAGGCAACAATTTCTCAAGCTAATAGACAGATATTTGTACTGGATGGACATGTTTAGGAACTCTTAAACTTCAAATCTAATTCACTATGGCTTAATCTTGGAGATAGATTATCAGGTTGTATATCCTCTGTACACACAAACTAGCCTCAGGCAACATAACTGACATTGTTCCTGGCAAAAGAAACAGGCTGCCTTTTATAAAAATACCAGTGCTGGTAATTAAAGTGTTGCATTGGAACGGTGCAGATCATCCGCCGTCTCCATGTTTACTTAAATGACTTCCGACATGGCTGACATAAGGTGAAGTAAGGTGAGGTTGGTGGAGGTGAATTGAGGTGGGGTTAAATGAGGTGAGGTGAATTAAGGTGAAGGGTAGCATGCTCACAACACTAAAGGTACTGTTTAAAAACACATACCAACTGTAAAGGTGCTTCGATTTAAAACATGTAAAATCCCATTCTCTCATAAAGAATAACAGCTTGCCTTCAGGTGTACTCCCTAGAATAAGGGTTACCAAGGTTAACAAACAAATACACTTGGTTTTTCCAACTTTACAATACCGGTAAAGCATCAATTAATTGTTTAGTATATTAAGTTGAATAATGTACCATTACATCACATAATTTAACTGCTAACATCTGGGACACCGTCTACTTAAAAGACATCATATAAGGAGTACTGCACGCTCACTCTTAAATCACCAAAGGCCTGAAACTCAGATTATTGAAATGGCTTTTATGACAGTATGTTTTTTAATATATTTGAAAGAGCTAAACTTAATTTAAAAGTGTAGTATGTTTATTTGCCTCTGTTAATGGATATGATAAACTCAAAGGGAATAAAGAAGACTGAATAAATGTCGACCTTTCTTAACAAAACAAGGGTTAGGAGTTGGTGCTTCATCACATTGGAAAACAAATGTTGAGTCTCAAATGACGTAGACATGTGGAGTTGAAAATCTATGCCAACACCAATTTGTGTACAATTAGTGTTTATTTCACCAAATCGGTTGTGCTATTATGGCCCTCGTCTGGTGATGTGGGATGCTGATATGGGATTATGGTTGTTTTTTTATTGTTTTTGAATTGCCTGTGGACTGCTGTGTGACAAAAAATTCAATAAATAACTACTGACAGTGCTAATCACTGAACCCAAATTGGGACATTGTTTCTAAGATATATTCAATATTTACCTGAACTACCCAATGGTGTATAAATGAAATAGTTGGTATAAGTTAACTTCAATCAGCTATAATATTAAAATACCTCTTATGCAGCAACGATAGTGTATGTCTACTTTAACTGGGGTTTGACATCACATATACCAAACTGTAGAGACAGAAGTTGTGCAAATCTACAGTCTATAGTGCAACTGAGTTTTCTGAGCAGCGTAATTTATATGTTCATCTAAATGCAGGTAGTTGACGTAACTGATCATGCATACAGTAGGCCCCAGTCAGTATTAAACCATGACCACTGGTTTTTAGTTCTGAGCTATAGAGCCTTGATTGAGTAATCAATGTGTTCAATTTAACCAGCACTGTGAATAATGCAGTGAAGATGAATCTCTTGTAACAAGTCCACTTCAGTGATTATTCCAGGCAAAGTTTATTCAATACACATACTAATAATAAGAAATCATTACATTTAAGTGAATGCCTTATGAAGCTATTAAGAAGTGACTTGGCTTATAAATGTGAATTCAGGACACAAACCCTGTGAAAGCACACTTGTGAAAATATGTTTTAAAGAGGGATTTCAAAGGGATAAGGAGCTCACAAGTCTGATCTCCTCAGGGAGGTTGTTCCAGAGTTAGAACAGAAAATGGCGGGTTACACGGTATAGTTTACTGTTAATGTACACAGAAGTTACTCAAGATTACAAATGTTATGACATTTAGTAATGAATAGGAGCATATATTTCATTTTATTAAATGGAATGAGAAGCAAAATGAAAACAATTGAAACAGTAAAGAAAGATATCACAGGACTGTGTTTTTTTCTTCTTTTGTGAAACAAAAAAGAAATCTGACCACTTGTCAGATTTATTTGTTGGTGTGTAGCCAATGGACTACTAACTATATAAAGTAAGTAAAACAAATGCCGCTCTGTCAAGCTATAACAAAAAGATGCAAGAATGTTATGAATCTATATGATAATTACTTAAAAACTAAAGTTCTTGATGTTTTCTGATTTGTGGCAATTGATGATTATAGATAAATATGTTCATCAATTATTTATTGATGACTGTGAGTCAAAGTGCAGACATGATTAATAGCATAAGTTAACGTTTATTTAACAAACTTTAGCGTTAGCAATGCCGGCTTGCTAGCTGTATGCAGACTGAATTTGCCATATGGCGTAATGTAAACGTTGACGAAAAAGCGACGGTTGTAAATACATGTTTTATGACTATCAAACAGAAAAATATAAATATTACATTTTAGTGTTGTTACTTACTCTGAACAGCTCTAATGCACATCGCCACAGGTCCACGGTCAATCAGCACGGTGAGGGGGGCGGGTTCGGAGAGCAGCCGTTCCGTGATTGGCTCTGTCCAGCGCCATATGAACCAGATGTTGCCACTGAGTGCAGTGCCAGAGCTGAGAAATTAGCTTCAATACCACCATCTAGTGGACAAAAGGTGCCTTCACTGCATTTTGATTTAATTTAAAACCATTAATTTGTTTTAACAGTTTATGTATGTACTTATTGCGAATGATAACCAAATATACATCTAATCATGTGTTACTGTCTAATGTCATACTAGTTGTGTTTACCCTCTTTTACAACTCCTGTGACTCTACTTTACTATCACAGGAGGAAATGAGGAGCACACACACACACACACACACACACACAAGTCTGCACCTTCTGTCAGCTTGTCACCATCAGCAGTAACAGGAAGCGTCTTTTTTCTTGTCGCGTTGTCGAAGGTTTTATTAAAGCAGCTGCGTAATGTTTTAAACGTATATCTTAGAACAAGGAAAACAACTGTTATAGTGTGTGTGTTTTTTTATGTTTGCTCATGCGTAAGGGCTAGTTTAGGTTATTTGGCGAGTCTGACAGTTATTACTAAAGTTAACGTGTGTAAGATTTACATGATGACTTCTGGGGGATTGGGCTTCACCGATGGCCTGGAACAAGACATCAGCCAGGAGGAGCTGGACTTCTCCGACCTGTTTCTCTACAATCCACCTGGGGAAGACTTTCCTGTCAGTGATAAAGGTGTGTAATCCTTACTAGCATATGCAGTATGCTTTAACGTGACTTTCCGTAGAATATACTTTCCAATTATTATTTTTTTCTTAGTTTTTTTTATATTGTGAACGTGTAAAGAAAGATACATTTTATGTTGAGGTTGGAGTCAAGTAAAGATTTCGGATATCCATCAGTGGGTACTTAGCTGTCAGGTACTGATGTTATTGTACTCCTCTAATCTTCCTCATTCACGGTCATTTTTAACTCGGATACATCATTAAAACCCTTCTCTCTATTTGAGAAAATACAGAAAAGTTGCATTGCATTGTATTGTCAATATCACCGTTTAATGGAGCAAACACAATTCCTTCTAAATTCAGTCTTCATTGTTGTTACTTTACTTGGATGCTTGAGCTTCACTGTACAACATGATGCATGGGCGTTTCTGTCATTATTTATAATCATATGTAATAAGGTAATTTAACAGATGAACAATATTATGGCATGTAGAACAATATCTCAAAACAGTGGTTCCCAAACTTTTTGGTTTGAGTTAACCCAACAGCCCTTTCAGATCAACTCACACAAAATTAGTAATTCATCAATTCCCAAAGTCTGTTACAAATGTTATAGCCGAACACTATAAACTACTGTTATTGATAAATCAATATTGAAGATGGATATCGTTATTTTTTATATAGGATTAGACTGTAAGTATTTAGGTTCGTCAGTAGTCGTAATAAAAACAAACGTTGGAGTCAGGCTAAATGTTTGAACAATTTCTCCATTACTTATACCTAATATCAGGAAACTAGTAGCCTAGCCTTTTAGAAATTAATTCCTTATCTCATTTTTGACAGATGACTCAAGGGCTCTCCTTCAAAACAACAACCAGCCTCCTCTGCTGGTGGTCGACCCTCACACTGCCTACATCTCCAGCTCCAGCCAGCAAGACCCTTGTCCAGAACTCTCCTCCCACAGCCCCACAACAGAAGACCTGTCTGAGGCTGTGATTGACTCCCTGGGGCTGGCATCAAGACTGGCGAACATCCCTGCTCCCAGTCCTAGGATTGAGATCACTCCGTCAGGCGACTCTTTCAGCTCTCAGACCCTGGAGCCCAGCCTTGGCACCAAAGCTCTTGGGGCCTACAGGGAGTGTGTGAGCCCTGCCAGCAGCAACTCCTCCTCTGGCTGGCCTGCAGAGGCATACTCTCCTTCGGCTTCACCCTGCGTCTCCCCTTCCAATGGGGTAGGCTGTGGAATAGGTTTGTCCAGCTTGGAGCTCTGTACGGTTATCCAGGGCATCCACAATTCTTCTGCCCACTCCTCTCCTGGAGCCTCGCCTCGCAACAGCATCACAGACGAGACCTTTCTCCAACCTCAGCAGCACCGCACCGCCTCATCACTCCCCCACCAGCGTTCCCGCTCTGTTTCGCCACATGGAAAGAGATCCTATGACCAGGCTCATTCCTGTCGGGGAGGCACTCCTGTTAAGCAGCGCTCGAGGAGTCCCAGTCCCATCCCTTCTCCCCATGAGCAGCAGGCGTCCTACTACCCCCAGGCTCAGACCTCCTCCTCAGGATTGGAGGAGATGCTGAACAGCCTCAGCTCCTGTCCACCCAGAGCCATGCCCTTCTCAGCGGTGCGAGATGTACATGGGCAGGCCCAGAGACAGGACTGTGTGTATGGAGAGAGGTATGACTGGGCCATTGAGCAGGAGAGGATAAGCAGGGCAGGAGCTGAAGTCAAGTCTGAAACTTTCTATATGCTGCCAGCTGTGTGGGCTCCTCATCCAGTTCACCAAGGAGCCTTCGGGTGTGTTACATTACATTACATTACATTGCATTTAGCTGACACTTTTATCCAAAGCGACTTACAATAAGTTCATTCGACCAAGAAGATACAAACTAGAAGAAAACAGAATCATATAAGTACATCAGGCTTTCATAGAGCCAAAACATTTCAAGTGCTACTCAACTGGCTTTAGATAAGCCAGTCCTTTATTAGTATATAAGTGCTTTGTTAGCAATTCTTTGTTAGTGTTATCTGTCCTTTCCTATAACTTACAGAGAAGTTATGTCTCTGAACTTATTTGGTTTATCTTATCTTGCAGATTACAATATACATCATACATGATAGTATATTTTGTGGTTTAAGGTAACATTTTGGAATATCGTTATTGTTTTTTCTTTTCAGTTTCCCCTCTTATTGCTTTTTTCTGTCTATCTTTTCCCCAGTGGTCTCTCAGTGGCTCCACTCCCGTCTTTGGAGTGGCCGTTGCCCAGCCAGTCGGGTCAATACGAGCTTCTTATCCAGCAAGAACCCAGATCTCACCACAGGGCTCACTATGAGACTGAGGGGAGCCGTGGAGCTGTGAAGACGCCTAACGGAGGTCATCCGGAAGTTCAGGTGCTCCCCCTGGGTGTGGGCTTTGGTGGAATGTAACAACAATGTTTAACTCAAGAACTATAGTATTTTCATTTTATGCGACTCTAAACCTTTTAATGTACTGGTGAGAAGTAAAAAAAAGTGTTTCTTCTTATTAACTGAGGGTGAATGGTTCCTTTTATGAGTACAAAAATCTTTACCCTAATACCCTTTTTTTTTTTTTAAAACCCTCTTGGATCAGCGGGACGTTGTCACAAAGCTGAAACAGGGCTGTGTTTCTGAGCTCATGAAAAGTTAACCTTTTTTTTTTTTTAAACCGACTTTGCCGTAGGTTAAACCATCCAACAGAACGAAAAGATGTAGAAAATGTTTAAAACATTTAACATCTACGGGTAAACATTAATGCAGCAGTAATATTAACAACATCATTAGTAAAACATTGATAGATAACATTTTCCCACAGAATGAGGGCTTCTACTTTTGATACTTTGAGTACATATTGCTGATAACATGCTTTTTGAAAAGTTTTGAATGCAGGACTTGTAGTGCAGCAGGAGAGATTTAATTGACGACGGTATTTCCCGGATAATGTTGTGTTTATGAAAGCAAACAGCCATGCAAATGAATGAAAGAGCCTCACATTACTACTCCCACAAGGAAAAATGATTAGGTACGGTTGCTAAAACGCCCTATGCAAATCAGTGTTCTTGACATGCCAGTTAGACAGTGACCAGTGAAATCCTCCTCACAGGGTAAGGGTTAGGGTTGAACAAGATTTATTGTGCCATCTGAATTTGTTTACAGCAACCATGGAGGTTAATTATATTGTAGTTAATTTAATTCAGTGTGAAGCAAGCATTTAATCGCCTTTGTTGCCCTTACTAGCTCTGCGGGTACGAAGGCACAGCTCCACTGGGCCTGCAGGTCTTCATAGGAACAGCAGACGAGAGGATCCTCAAACCTCACGCCTTCTATCAGGTGCACCGTATCACCGGGAAGACCGTCACCACACCCAGCATGGAGAGGACGATGAACGGGACCAAAGTGTTGGAGATTCCTCTGGAGCCAAAGAACCACATGGGTGTAGTGTGAGTATCACCCCACAATTTTACATAGCAGTTTTTACTCTTACCGTAAGATGTATTTATGGAACAGATGCTGTTGGTGGGAGTTGCAGAGTGTTGGCGGTATCATCCTTAGAGATTTCTGCCTACTCTCGAATATAATGGAAGTAGATGGCACTCTGCTTTTGGTGCTCAAGGGCAAAAGAATACATTTGAAAAACAATATCATTGTCTTCATTCAGAGAAATCCAAGCTAATCCACAGTTGTGAGTTGTGTTGACTACCATACTATACTTGTCAACCGTATCACCACACAGAAGGAAGCATACATCTATTCTTTTTGAGTTTTTCAAAAGTTGTTTGCAATCACCACATTTAGTTCCATTATAATCTAGAGAAGGCAGAAATCTCTATGATCAATGTCTTTGTCTCACGTTAAAAACAAGTAAGGCGAAAAATACTCAATATTTATTTTGCCGTGAAGTGCTCCTTTAAGTAATCTGCAGTCACGTCTGTGGTGTTTTTGCATTTCCTCTCCCATAGATACAGATGCGGAGATACATAAGACTGAGTTGACGTGGCTGTGTCATCTGTTTTCTTTAGATGTACTGCTAAAAAAAAAGTATTTGTGCTAATGGTTCTTCTCTTACTATTCTCACTCATGGGGGAAATTTTGTTCATTCTAGCTACACATTTATTTATGCTCCAAAGAAATTGCAGTTGCCACTGACTGAAAATTCAAGTGCATCACTTCCTGTGTGCCAGAGAGTGTTTTTCCAAGAAAGACACTGGGTGTTCACAGCCCTGCTTTGATTAACTTGTGTTTTATCAGTCTTTTTCTTATATTTTACAGGATTGACTGTGTCGGAATCCTTAAGTTGAGAAACGCCGACATTGAACTAAGGAACGGTGAGACGGACATTGGACGAAAAAACACACGCGTGCGTTTGGTGTTCCGTGTCCACATTCCTCAACCTGGAGGCCAGCTCGTGTCTCTTCAAGCTGCCTCTCAACCTATTGAATGCTGTAAGGAGGGTTTCATTCCTCATAAGATTCATTTTGCTTCCTATCACTTGGCAATGACATCTAATATTGCAATATTAATTTGCACTACTATACTAATGCCTTATCAAACCACCTCAAACATACCTTCTATTGTCTTTTACGAGAATGCTTACCAGGCTATGATAGTCAATATTGCAATTCTGGAATTGAATTATAATATATTTTAGTGGCCACCTGCCCTAAAGATGTTTCCTCTAGATGTTTTCTGATCTCCCTGTGGTTTCTGATAACGCTGTCTCTTCCTGTTTCCTCAGCCCAGCGCTCTGCTCAGGAGCTCCCTGCAGTGGAGAGGCAGGACCTGGACCGATGCTCGGTACACGGAGGGCAACAAATGGTCCTTACTGGACAGAATTTCACATCCGACTCCAGAGTGATCTTCTCTGAGAAAACACAAGGTGAAGTTTTAGCCTCCGTACTGCTTCTAAAAGGCTTTACTAGGTATTAAAGATAAAAAAGATAATATTTCACCCGAGAGAATAGTTAGAATTCACTTTCTTGCCAATAGTTGGATGAGAAGATTGATAACACTCTCATGGCTGCACAAATGTTAAGCTACAGCAACATTTCCCCCAGTATCTAATCCTTTCTGATGCTACTCTATATAAAAAAGTTAATTTTTTAGAAATAAGGCTATGTTTATTCATTTTAAATGTAATTAGGCCTACATTACTACATATTTACACACAGATCATGCAAGGCCGGTTTCTCTTTTATGCTTGGTTTAGTGCTTCATGCCCACCTCAGTTTTTACCTGCCGTTTTTTATGATGTCACCCATGCTCTGAACAAAGAAAATGGCTAGAAATCTGACAAATAGCACATATGTTAATAAACAAATACAATAGTGTATGTTTATCACTATAAAAAGCAGAAATGACTCGTTCATTCATCTCAATAGTTTTTTGTGACTGAGCCATGTTAGCCCCCAATCTTCACATTTAATTTGAAGCAAGATAGCAAATAAGTTCCAAAAATGTTTAATTGTTCTTCAAAGTTATTATAAAAACTCTTGATGTATATGTTGATCTAGAGTTCTTCTTTTATGTTGATAGACGGAGAAAGGTTACTATGATTAGTCTTTGATTATTTTGTGCAACAACACTCCAAATGTCCTGCTCGAGCATATCCAGCATGTCATGTTTGTATTTTCAGAGTATTTGCATATCGCCTGGGCAACATTCAATTCAAGTGACGCACATCTTCCTTCAGCCCCCACAAAATGAGCCACCCACTTTTTAAAACTTTTATTGTTTTACTGGCAAGGGACAACTTTGTATTTATTTCTAAATGGAAATGTCTCACCTTGTCACCGCTGCACCTGCCCACACAACATTTTCACATTGGGTTACATGGTTTAAAAGCAGGATGGGTACAGTTGACTGCATGTAAAGCCTCCCTGTTGCGCGGGGTTTCATGCAACAGGATGTGGTTAGAGAGACTGATAAAGATTCAGAACCAGAGCAGAGGCTTTGTGTGTGTTTAGTTCAGAGCGTGGGTAGAAAACAGAATCAAAAGGTAGAAATTGAGATGTGAATGAAACACTAAGCCAGGCCGAAAAGAGAAACCTGATTTCCGCTTTCTGCTGTCTGCGTGAAAATGTGCTCACATAATCACATTTTAAAAAGGACTGGCGTTATCGTAATTCCTGCAAATTCTTATTTTTATATACAGTATAGTAGCAATATTAATAGTCAGATATTGTAGGAAATGTGCCCTTTTGCTTTCATTCAGGGATAAGAACATGCAAAAATAAGGCTACAGCAAGCAGGTATTAGCTTAGCTTATCACAGAGGCTGGAAAGGAAACAGGGGAAACACTTACCAAAAGTAACAAAATTAGCCTACCATGGACCTTTTAAATCCCAGAAACCCTATTAAACCACGATTTGCAGGACATCCAGGTATTTTCGGAATATTGCATTTTAAATAATGTGTATTGTGCCATAATTAATCAAGTTTCTGGTTGAATAAGTATTTGTTTTATTTGCGTGTGAGCTAGGATAGCTGTTTCTCCCTGTTTCCAGTGTTTATGCTAAGCAAACATTCTGCTGTCTGCAGCTACATATTTCTTATATTTCTCACCTTCTTATATTATTCTCGTAAAAATATCAAACTATCGTTTTAAACTCCATCTGCCCTCTGTTTTCAGATGGGCAGCAAATCTGGGAGATGGAGGCCAATGTGGACAGAGACAAAACACAAGCTGTGAGTCACACATGTTATAAGGAATACGCATCATTTTACATGTCCAATTGTGTGAATTTGTATATACAGTATATATATATTTAATCATCAAATCAACGGCATCTCTTACAAATCCACATAAACAGAAAGCAAAACATGTCACCACAGGCAATGTGCTACTTTTAACATTTCGAAAGAGTTTTTCATTTCTGATACTGATCTTGATCCTAAACACAAAAGCAAGAGAATTGGGGCATCAGCCGCCTCTCTGTTTCAACATGACAGTTTATCTGACACGTGATCATCTTTTCTGTGCTGAATCCTCATCTAGAACATGCTGTTTGTTGAGGTCCCTCCGTTCCGAAATCGGACCATTTCCCACCCAGCAAAAGTCAACTTCTACGTGATCAACGGGAAGAAGAAACGCAGTCAGCCTCAGCACTTAATCTACACTCCGGGGATAGGTAAATATCTGCCGACCGTCTCAGATCTGTCTATACTGGAAAAAGAGGGGTACCTTGAATGTTGAAGAAATGGGATGGTGACAAAATTGTCAACAGTGCCCAGGAAATAGCTCAACTTTAAACAGCTTAGATACAACTGCTATATTATTAAAGTCAGTCAAAATCAGCTACTTGCTTCTTGGTATGATCTTGGTATACAATTTTACAAGAAATCAGAAAACACAAGAGATGAGTCAGTCATTAAACTGCAGCCACAGCTCAGGTTTTTGCGTAGGGGTATGACTCTCACTTGCTCTAAAGAGGAAACAAATAGCCTGTTTTGGTTTCTGTAACCAGATAACGATAGACCTACATTGATGGTTCACCTTTGTTTCTTTTGTTCTAGCCATTAAAGCAGAACCGCTGGATGACTACCAGCTGAATATGTATGGTTACTCAGACAATCAGCCCCTCACTGGCCTGTCAATGAAGTCACTCTACCATCAGCTGGAGCAGGAGAGCAGCCTTCAAGCCTTGAATGTTTCCCCAACAATGTACCATCTAACAACTGCAGACCCGAGAGCCCATGTTGTAGTCCCAGATCCCCTGGACGAACAGCCACTCTATTACGGTTCTTTGGTCAACAACCCTGGGCTGTACCACTCTGCAAACCAACGTTACAGCGGGAGTGGTCCCATCCTCCTTGGTAGTTCCCCGGTAGCGTCCCACGCTGCCTCCACTCCCAGCCCCTGTGTGGGTGCCAGAACCGCTGTGGGCAAACTTGATGAAGGTCCTCAAGTTGGTGATTCATACGAGGCCTGTTTTGTGTCAAGACATCAGAGTTTTGTGCAGACGGCGCTACCACTGGGGAAGTCTCCACCATCAAGATACATCCAAGGCCCTGTCCAAGGGAAGGCTGGAGGCCGAGTGGAGTCTCTGACCATGAGGAACCATGAGGAAGGAGCCCCAGAGAGGGTCACCGTCAAACAGGAGAACCTCCGCTATGCTTACCTGGAGGATGGTGAGTGTTTTTATTGCATAATGTCATTCTTTACCAAATTACGTTTCATCCTCACGTTTTGTGTGTACAAATGAGTGCAACACAACGAATACCTTTGAGGTGCTTTTATCCCACAGGCCATAAGACTATTTAACACCTTAGCTTGCACTATTTGTATAGGTTTTTTAAATATTTATTTTGTTTTGTCTTGTAAATTGCACTGTTGAGGAACATGCGATCAAACTGTTTCATAGTACATTACATAATTACACCGTAGTTCTGTATATGTTATGATAATAAACCTTTGAATCTTGAATCTTAATTTTTTTTTATCTTGTCCCTATCCTTAGGGACCGGGTTAATCGACAGATTCGACACACTTTTGATTGTGATTGTTCTGAAAAACTAAAATGTTTAAACAACAGGTTATATGAACTGGTTCGTTTCAAACATACCTCAACCTTAATTAGTGAGCCTTTATGTACTGTATGTACTAGTGCTATTAGTGTTAATAAATACGGAATAACTACTACCCTGATATCCATCAAACTTGATTATGAAGCATGGGCAAAGGAAGAACACATCACATTTTTTACCAGAACCAAATCACAGGCCTTTTTAGTTTGTGTATCCAGTATGGAGAATAATAGGCCCTTTCCAAGGAAGGCCTTTTGACTCATTCCAATAGTAAAGCATATCTTTAAGTAGTTAAATGAATAATGGCTGAATTCAATTTGGATACTTTACATTACAATTACATTACAATACATTATTAATACAATGAATGGTTATCGTGCATGCTGGTGTACTGTCACAGGCATCTAAACACTATAGATCAGAGAGTTAGCAGTCACACATGTGCTTTCCCTGCTAAAACAAGTCCAACTTGAGCACCACAGTTACATAATCTCTCAATCAGTCAGAAACTCTGATTCCTTCTGAGTGCAGTCTATTTGAATGCAGAAGGATCTGTTTCTATCTCCGCTTCAGCTTTTATTGTTTCCTTGAAAAATATTTAGCTGAGTTCTTAAAGATACAGTACTGCAACAATTGCGTCAACAAAATACTAAATGGCAGAATATGAGTAATTGTGGTCCGGACTGCAAACGCATACAAGCACATTGCAGCTGTACGCTTTCAAATCCTGCATTGTGGTTTGTGTTGGGCTTTTCTATCCAATTTCCTGTCTCTTTCAGAATCACTCACACAACCGAATAACACTCACTGCTCTTGTAGAATCTTCATGCTCATGTTGAAATAAATCAAATATAACTTGGTTATGAATTTTGATGTATTTGAGGATGAAAAGGGGGAAGAAACAACACCACCATGAAGTTATGTACCCTGGCCTTATTTGCTGTGTAGAGCAAAGTCTCTGTTTACACCTCTGTGATGGAAGGCAGAAACAGGAAGTTTACTGAATAGGCAAATACATGCACACACCTGTGGTGAAACGGAAAAAAAGAACCAGCAATGTCCTTTGTTCTGTTGCCTGATACCGACATGAAAGTTTTAGCAGCTACAACAATCTGTTTTACCACACGTCAGCAGCAAATGGATATGTTATTATTTATAGTAATTTGTATTTATTATGAGATCCTATTGATAAAATGTTATTCTTTCAACATTACTTGAAAAAAAATAACTGATCTAGTGGGAAATACTTCATTACTTCAAGGACTGCAAGTCATCATTGGACTGATGCATACATTCATTTAGAACATTTCTGGTGGCCTTAATCACACATCACATGCAAGTTCAAAGGGGGAACGTTTGCCGCCCTCTCTCCCTCGTTTCCTTTCCTTTACTCATCACTATCTATACTCTTTGATATATTTGACTTTGGCGACCACTGCTGGTACTATTAAAAACAAATTGATGTAGATCACTTTATCCCAAGAGCTTCCACTAAGTAGAACAAGTGACTTGAGGATGAATTAGGTGACACCAATTTTGACTGGAATAGTCTCTTATGTTTCACAAACAATCATAATTTTAATATCCGCCAACAGGGGCTTTAACCATAAAACAAATGATTATTGAAATTAGAAACAGTTTTATTTCGAAGTAGTCTTGCCCATAAAATAATGTTTTTTTGGTAATCTGGTGCATACCAAACAACGCAGTGCAAATGTCAAGAGTCAAAAATAGTGATTCATGTACAAGCTACATAAAATAAGCATCTTGTCTTAATTTATGTAAGCATGGTTGTAAATAAGAAAGTCGCTCACCCCTGTCTGTAATGTTTTACAGTGAATGACATCATACGCAGAGACATGAGAGGACACAATGGAGAGTGAACCTGGAGGCCTGCAGCCGCCATGATGTTCTTCAGATCAAGCATAAAATGAGTGTCCTTGAGGAAAGCATGTATTAGTTATCAAAGAAAAATCTTTATTGGTGGCTGACATTTAAGCCAAACAATCTAAACTATTACAATGACTTTAGACTCTTTAGCCCCATACTGTTTTATCTATTGTGTCTTTCTTTTATGTTGTTTGACTTGTCTTTATTCATATAATTGTACAATTGCTCTTTTTAAACATGTCTAAAATATTTTATATAAAGTGAAATCTGTTTGTATGAATCAGTGTGTATTCAATGAAGTAAGATCTGGAATAAACTGAATAATAAATAAAATATTCTAAACTAACACAATTTTTGTTTTTTTCCCTGATAGCAAATGTCTTTGTCTTTGAAATAGCTTTTCTTGTGTGGAAGTCATACATCAGACACCATTATAAAGTTAATACAATATAAGATTTATCAAGTGTAAACATTTTTTAAGTATGATTATTTGGCTTAACACCAAAATGTAAGGGTTAGGTTGGGGTTAGTCATTCAATTCAAATTTGGAGATACATGGCTTTTACTAGACAGACATTATAACAATTGTAATCTGACAATGTTTACCACTCAGATGTAGTGGGTTCTTACAAAACGGAAAGAGTACCTCTACTTTGAAACTTAGGTAGGCCTAGGCTAGAACTTGAGCAAATGCTAAGTTGCATCCCACCCCTGGTGACGATGGCTAGTAGCTACAGCTCTAAGATATAAATACCATAAAACCTTTTTTACGAAGCCTATCTTTATGTTTTGAAAATGTTATCTTAAATAGTGAAAGAGATATTTGTTTTTATAAAAACGCTAGAGGGCGACATTTTCAAAACAATCATTCCCCGGTTCGGATGTGGCTCACAGACTTGTTACGTCACTACCGCTTGGTGAATTCCTTTTCCTCTCTTTTGTGTGCATCTTTTTCTTTACAGCTTTACTAACATTTGTGCCCTGATATTGAAGTTAACATCCCTGTAACGGCTGAAGGAGAGTGAAGTGTTCTTGTTACTGGTGAGCTTCTTCTTCCACACACTACTGTCTTCATGGTTTTAATAATGTAACCACACTGCTGTGCTACGTTGTAAATCATTCGTTGCAGAGTCTATTTACATTAGCCTCCAATGTACAGTAACGTTTTGTTTTATCAGCGTGATGCAATGAGAGCACAGAACATCGTTTGATTCACATTTCCACGCTTTTGTTACAATTCAGTGTTTATAGTGTGGTTGTGGATACAATACGAGACAGGCGAGCACCTCTTAATCTTGTCTGGGAGCCATGAAACCCTCATCGTTTAGGAATTACTGACATGTTGTTAATCTGCCTGCTAGGGTCTCTCTCGTTCTGTGGCAGTTTTGCATCAAATCTATGTTTATGACAGATATGATTATTTGGCTTGGTAAAATCAATAAGCATATGTACATAAAATGCCTACATAGGATTCCATTGAATACAAGGAGGGTTTGTTATTAATATTGTGCTGTTACTGGGGGAAGTATACATTTATATACTTAAGACTAAAACTATATTTGAACTACTGGAAGAATAAGTTAAATCTCATAAGTCACTGAAGAAAAGCACTGACTTTGATTTGAACTACTAAATATATTTACGTTAATTTGAAGAGCGCTGTTTTTTTTAATGAAAAGTTGTAATTAGTATTGATCTTGCTCACCCTGTGTCAGAAAGTCTTTAGTGAATAAGACATGTTAATTTGCCTTGTCATGTACTTAATAATAATTGAAGAATAGATCTTGTTGCTAACCGTGTTCCTGTTGTTTGCAGAGATAGGTTGGTGCACGGAAAAATAACCAAACAGACCATCATCAGCATTATGTCTGCAGAAGTGGACCTGTCCCCTCCAGAGGTCCCTGAACCCACCTTTCTAGAGAGCCTCCTGCGCTATGGGCTGTTTCTGGGCGCCATCTTCCAGCTCATCTGCATCCTCGCTGTCATCTTCCCCACATCCAAGGGACATGAATATGTGAGTAGACACCAAGAAATTGGGAGGAATAGGGGATTCACATGAAACAAATGTTGCAGTTGATACCAAAATGTCACATCTACATTCTGCTGATTTCTTTCAATTTAACCTATTAAAATGGTCTGTTGAATAGGGATGAAATATGATTCTAAATCTGATGTAAAACATTGCACAATCAGAAACATGTGCAGCATGGAGCAGCTGCAGATAGAACAGCCAGGATTTTTGATTATTTTATTTTTTTAAATGAACAACTTTTTCTCCTATCTTGCTTGACAGATCTCAAAGCTCTGCAATTACACAATTTTGTGTAAGAAATCTTGCAGATTGTTATTATTCAGTCCTCAGAAAAAACAGACATCAGTTATAAAGAGTAGTGCAGAATATCTTATTTTTAAATGTCCATGAACACAGGGCCACTAAGGGCTTCTGCCACGATCTCCTTACTTTGAACTGTCAGGAGAGATTATTTATAGACAAGAGCATTTAAACCCACAGTCTCATAATTCTATTTTCAGATGCTCTCATTACTGTCCACAGTATGTCGCCATTTCATCCTCTACAGCAGCCTGCTGTCAGTCTGCCTTGCCATACAAAGACAGAAACAGTGCTGACAGGGGGAAACACGTCTGGATTTGTTTGGCTTGTGTGCGTTTCTGAGTTTTATCCATAAAATTCTCCACCACCAACGTAGAAAAGAAAAGAAGAGATAACAACAAAGTGGACGACAGCTGAAGAAGGCCTTTTGATGCAGTTTTTATTCATGTGCATCTTGCTAATATAGATTTTTTGAATAATTTCAACTACATTTAATTTAAATTTTTATGACGTGCATTCTATGTAATCTATTTTTTCAATCTAATTCTACTAATATTATCTTATATTTGTTTAAATTATTTGGCATCCTCCCATTGTTTTTATGTACATTCTGTGTCTGTTTTCCATATTGTAAAGCATTTAGCATTTCTTTATGAAGGAAGCTATACTCAGTTTATTATTATTATTCATTTAATTATTATTATTGCTCCATAAATTCAGGGAACTGCCTATAACAATTCCATTCACTTGTTAACACATAGTCTGAGGTATCTGGAGCAATGAAGCACTGGAATACTTAAATGTATAAGACTCAGCCCCCATCTAAAGTTTGTTGTATGAAACACAGACTCAAAAAGTACAAAATGTACTTGAAAATAGTGTTTTGGCAAATTCCCTATGTGAGAGTGTCAGCTAACAAACACACCATCCAAATACATATTCAAAACAAAAACACAGTTATCTAATCATGTGATCAAGCAGTCATGTGTCCTAGACCATATTTAAGGTGACTCAGAGGATTTACTTTTTAAATAACAGGGTGGTTAATGCGTGTTGTGTTTGCTCAACAGGAAGAGACTGAGTTCACTGATGGCAAGGCCACCGAACAGCTGAAGAAACCTAAAGGACTGACCCCGCAGCTTCGGCAGAAACCAAAGAAAGAGAGCAAGAAGAAGCGATAGATAGTGCCGCGTGTGTGCATGTGTTAAGGTTTGTGTGAATGCGTGTGTTTGTCGACATCCGTCAATCAACATTAAACGGTTACAATTATCACTACAGGAATATGAAACACTAATGTTATATTTACAACATTAAACATGTCTACATTTAATTTGAGACACCTTGACCTTTATATTGACAACAGTATTAAAAGGAGCAATAGTCATGGCGTGTTTATGCAGCTTCATATTTGTTTTGCAATTGTATTTTATAATAAATATCATTGATTGAATTGGATTTGGATTTCAACAGAAAAATAAATCCACTCTGTAGTCATTCACTTCCGCTGTTTATATTAATTGCAACATTTCCATTTGGTCAAATGAGTCAGAATCAGATAATTGTTTTTATATTAACTCACTTCGTATGACAGAATGCTTCATGACTTCCTGTCAAAGCTACAGACTTGGCCCCACAATAGCCTGTTCAACTACAGGTAAGGTATATTTAACTTGTTATTTTTCTCTTTTAAAGGTTTACTTGATATTCNATCCGATCAGAAATGTAAGAAAACCGGAGATTTTTGGATATTCAAAGAGCCCGATTCCAATGGCCAGACAGGCAAACAATTGCATTAAGCCATTAGAAAATTTCTAATGGCTTAATGCAATTGTTTGCCTGTCTGGCCATTGGAATCGGGCTCTTTGAATATCCAAAAATCTCCGGTTTTCTTACATTTCTGATCGGATTGGCAAAAACTTCAACTGACAGCATTGGTTTCCCCCAAAAGTGGGCGGAGCCGTTATTTTTGCCCGGAAGTGACGCATTTGTTACTCTCATCTATACAGGGAGTCACTGGATCATCAGTGCCATGGCAACAGAGGTATCATTTTCCTGTCACTACGTCCACACGAGTTGAATATGGAGCCTGAGGGCAGAGAGGAAAATAAATATTTAATGATGTGTGAATACCCCAAAGTTTGAGTCCATTTACAGTTATTGAGAAAATATCACATACATACCAGAGTTTAAAGCTCATTATGGTGATTTTCAGGTTCATATTTGTATTTTGTCTCTACTGTGACATGTTTACATGCTTTAATGTTCAAAGAGGTCTTTATATTTCTCATCCTGCCTGTGCTGCAGCACCTCTTTTTACCCTCTGTCTGAAACCAGAGCCCAGTCTGCACTGACTGGTTAGCTGCCCAGCTCCGTTGTGATTGATCAAGCGCTTAGAAATGTCCCACCCCTTAGCCTATCACTTACAATGTGTTGGAGCGCTAGCCAATAGAAGTGCGAGTATTACTTAGTGATGAGAAGAAACTCCATCTGGAGGAAACTTTGGGATTTCATTTACATGCACACATCGGATTTTGGATCAGATTATCAGAAATAGATCTGGTGTCTTAATTATTGAGTGTAAGAGGTGCTTTATTTGACAAACGGAGGTTTCAAGTGTACATGAAACAAAGTTTCTTTCAGTGCTTTCTGACAGAAACCACCAAAGGTTTAGGTAATAAAACTAAGGATGTTAAGAAAAGATCTTGATCAGATTTGGGCAGAAAGCCATGAAGGCAAACTTGTCCCTTATATACAGCACGTTCCTGACTTTGTGCTAAGCTAGGCTAACTGGCTGTAGCTTCATGTTTAAAAGACAGTTTTAAGAGTGTTATCAATTGTCTCATCTAACTCTTGGTAACAAAAGATAATCAGCATATTTACTAAAATACCAAATAAATGGTTTAGACAGATGGAGATCAAGGTAGAGAGATCTACTCACATTATCTCTTGATGAAGGCAACAGGAAGTTCTCTTTCGGGAACCAAAACTCCTGAGTGGATCACGTTGAGTGGCTCATTATCTGTTGCCACAATCTCATATTCTTTGACCAACTATAAGAAAGAAACAAGAGTTTGATTTGATTAGTAGATGAAAACTTGGATAAAAAGAGACATGGATACAAAACCAAAAAAAACAGTCTGCAGTGAAACAAACTGTGGCCTGAACTGAGCTTTATCTTACCCAGCACATGGCCAGCTGTAGCTGCAGCTCTGCGAGCCGCCTGCCGATGCACATCCTCTTCCCGATGCCGAAGGGGATGTGGGCGAAGGGGTGGATGTTGTTGTTCTCCCGCAGCCAGCGCTCAGGTTTGAACCGCTTCCCTTCCTCAAAGTATTCCTCGTTTGTGCCCATTGCGTGGCTGTTTATCATTACAATTGTCTGTAACAGATGAAAAATATACCAATTATTTATAGATATTGTATTATAGGCTTGCTAAATCAGAACTGTACAATGTTAGAGCAAAGGTCAAGAACATTTTTACTAAATCAATTAAAGATAAATAAAATGGATAGCAAAGTTGATATAAATAAAGTAGAATAAATACCTTGTTACTTTAAATCTACCATGCAGTTAGTTAAGTTGCATATTCTCCATTTAGACTTTGTACAGTACACGAGGAGAGTGAAATGTAAACTCCTGTCAAGTGTATGGTAACAAGAACTAAGCCACTTACCCCTTTGGGAATAGCATAATCTCCCAACACAGTGTCTTTGTCCATAGTCCTGCTGGTGAATGGGACTGATGGTGATAACCTGGAAGAGAAAAAAAAATGCATGGGAATACAGTCTCAGTGACGCTGGTGTAGCATGACACACATATGTAAGCTGTTTAACGAGAGCTAAACTTCTCTAAATGGTTTTCACAGTGCGGGATGTGCTGAGATTTAATCTGCAGTCAGGGATCATATAATGTATATGATCCCTGACTGCAGATTAAATCTCAGCACATCCCTGTGTGCTGCGGTTCTGGCATTAGCCTTAAATTACATGTTTGGCAATTTGTGACTGCATGAGAAGAAGTGAGGCTTCTGGGGGGGATAGGAAGTGACTTGAACGTGACCGCAAGGTTTAGGCTGGGATGCCTGCCTGAGGCTGGTCATGCCCCAGTATGTTTTTGAGGCAGTCATGTGTGAGAGTTTCGCCTCTTAATCTCCGTGGTACTGAGGGAAACCGTGATGCAGCCTGCATGCCCGATCGGACCCGATTTATCTGTGGATATTATGTCACGTTACATGCAGCTCTAACTATTTTAAACTTGAGCTGTTTCACCTCGGTATGTGCAGAATGTTATATCTCGTATGATCTTCGATAGTTGTGTGTTTTAACTGTGCTGCATTGCTTGTGTGTCTGTCATATCGTATCATAATTTCAACAACTTTAACATTTTGTATCAAGATCTCCATCATGATTTATCCCATTAGGCCTGTCACAATATCAGATTTACATTACATAATTATATGTATATGTTATAATATAAATGTATTATCAAAAATATCAATATCACATTATAAATGAATAACAGTATCAGTCAAATTCCCTATAAACTTTACTTAATGTGAGTTTTGCATCTTTATTTGGGGAGGAAGTATAGGGAGTTGGAAAGAAAGTCTGTTTTAACTAAACCAGGATTTTTCGCATGATATTATCCTATGTGTATTATTAAAGATATATTAATATCTGCATATATTCCTATTGCTGCTCAAAAAAATACTGTAATAGGAGTAATTATTGTGTGTGAAAAAATAGGCCTCCATGACACTACTTGGACTGCTTTTAGAAGTCACTGCAGTTCATGGCCTGCTATTTCAATCCCATAATGTAGCTGTAGAATCATCAGGAGCTTCATGTTGCTGTTTTACTCCCCCCAACATGACCCTCTTGTTGCTGTACCTCATGGACTCTTTGAGGCAGGCCTTGAGGTATGGCATGTTCTTGATGTGCTCGCCACACGGGTCCTGGTCGGGAGCCACCACCTCTCTGATCTCCTCGAACAACTTCCTCTGGGCACCTGGGTTACGTGACAGGTTGAAAATAGCCCACAGCATAGCGTTGGCAGTCTGAGAAACATAAACAGACGGAGAGAGAGGCAGAGATGTCACTAAGTGAGACAGCTACTCTAAGTGCATTCCTCAGTGGGGTCCTGGAGGGAGCTGAGGAATGTTCAAAGGCTCCTCAGTTACATCCACAACACATTTACTTTGCTCTTTTTAAGCACTGTAACTGCAGCACCTGTTTGTTTTTGAGGCTGAACAGTTTTTTTCACCCTTTCCCTCCAGGAAGGAAAACAGGCGAAAGGTAAAACGTTCAAAAGGTTAAGCTAAGTGATAAATATACAGCTATTTTCTTTAAGAGTATAAGGTGTAATAAACCAAAAGCAGTAATAGGCAGAGATATGTTGACAGTATGGAGAATTAGGTTAAATGTCTTTCTTGCTGAGAGAAATAAGAGAAGATTGATACCTCTCTTTTATCTAATATCGAACTTCACATCTAACTCTCAGCAAAAAGGTGATTCAACGCGTATTTTACCAAACTATTCCTAAAGTTAAGTGTGTCTTTGTTGCTCACCGTCTCCACTCCTCCGATCTGCAGCTCTGTGATGGCGGCGTACAGCTCCTTCTTAGAGAGATTGCTTTGGTGTAAGATGTCGCCGATCAGGTCCTCAGGAGCTCTGGCGGAGTTGTTCTTCAGCCTCCTGTCGATGTAGACTTTGGCTGAGGAAACACAAAACAACGAAAATATGTAATCATACTCTCATTTAACTTAATCTTGCATTTGTTAAATGGTGATGAGTGTGATGACCTTGATACTTGTATAGCTAACAACGAGAGCTGAAACAGTTTCTGATTCATCATTAATCGGATTGACTTGAGGACTTGCTTCTTTTCTCTGCTTTACATCATTTTAAGAATATCTTCAGTTTTCCTTTTTTCTTGACAAGAAATGTTATTTTTAAGGTCTAAAGGGAAGTTTTTGTCCTATTTCAAAGATCAGCTAATATGATTGTAGTGACATGTCCCACCTTTGTTGCAATTTTTCAGGACGAAGTCATGTCCACATATGTATTTTTCTTTGGGATATAACTGTCCACTTAAGGTTTCATGCATTACACTCTATGTGAGCGTGTCAGAATGTGTGACGTGTGAAATCAAATGTCCGCTTTTAGGAGCCTAGGTCGGATCCATATGATGTCTTTCTATTTTTGTTCTTCTACGATTCCTGACTGTCCATGAGACACATGAGCATATAAGTGCTGGGCAAATAACATGACACAAAAACAAATGTACTTAAAGTCTGACTGACAGTTTGTTTTTACTAAAACACTAAAAGAAAATTGACCTCACTTGATCTCGCACAGCCCAGAAGTGTTTTTTTCCCCTGGGTAGTTTATTGTAGCTACCAAATGTCGGGAAAGTGTCTTTATGTGTGTGAGAAGTCGTCACATTCAAATAAACAGCACTACCGGCATCACCTTCTCCCTCCCCGCCCTGCCCTCCCTCCACCTGCTACTACAACTATTTGGCTGGTTTCGTCCTCTCAGGTCATGCGGTTTACTACGACTGTGGCTGCAAAGAGTGCCAAGTGCACATAAACAGTGAGGCACTCAGCTCAAATTCCCTCTGTTCCTCTATCCATCCTCTGACGGGAAACAAGATCAAACTGTTTTGCAGCAGTGAAATCAAACTGAAATACTACTTTAAGAAATCTGAGTGTTTGTGTGATTGCGTAGTGTATAGTATTCATGTGTGTGTACCAAGTGGCAGTGACTAAGTAGTTTATATCAAGTTAAGTACAAATGTAAGCCACTTGGACTCTACCTGAGTAATTTCTCTCTATTTTATACCTCTACTACACTATATCTCAAAAGAAAATATAACATTGTTTAATGCACTAAATTTAAATTTTAAATTACTTACTTTACACACAAATCATATGAAGAACTTATTGCATTTAAGTACCGCTGGAACAATAAAAAAATGTATTTTGTTTTGTGAAAAACATTTTACAGTTCCAGCCTTTCAAATGCAAAGATGTTCTTTCTTTTCTTTTTTTTTACATTTGATGTAAGGGACTAGTTTTACTTTTAACACTTTAAGTACATTTCCCTGATTGAATTTACCTTGACAAAGGTACAATTCTCAAAGCAGGACTTTTACTTTCTATGGAGTATTTGTACAGTGTAGAATTAGTACTTTTAACTAATTAAAGGATCTGAATTCTTTCTTCACCACTGTGCGTACCTGTGCTGAAGATGCGGTCCCATGCTTTGGTGTGGACCTGCCATCTTTTGGTGTTGAGGCTCTTGTGGAGCTTCACCGGTGTGACCATCATCATGCCAAACGTGCTCATCATCTACAGAGAAACACAAAGAGGCGTTAAATCCAATCATCGTCCACTCACTCAAAAGACTTTGATGCAATCTTAATCAGGGTTGTTTCTTCTTTCCCCCGTGAGTGAGACCTCTTTGCCTGTATCAATTCCTGATATCGGATTGCCAAGGTAAATCAATCCCAGTAAATACAGTCAGAAACTGGCTGACCTGTGTGTGAGGTGAACCTGATGAACTACGCTGTTTCTGTCAGAAACTGGCTGACCTGTGTGTGAGGTGAACCTGATGAACTACGCTGTTTCTGCACCTCAGAGTATCAGAGGTGTCCTCTCCTAAAGTACACCCTGCAGGAACAAACAACAGGAGAACTCACTGTTTTCACGGCGGTGATGAAGTTCATAGCCTCCTCGTTGACTTCCTTCTTCAAGAGACCAAATCTGTTGTCGTAGAGGACGAGGCAGATGGCTGAACGATGAAGAAAAGTTACAAACAAGTAAGATTTAGAACCTGAGCTGAATGTAGAATCAGGAAGGGTTTTCAATTAAATATTTCAAACTACATACAACTTTGTCATATAGCCTACATTTGTTTTTCAAAGATAGAGGTAATGAAAATAGCATGGCTTATGTATAAAACTATTTTAGCATGCATTCTTAAAATATGGGCAAACAATATAAAGAGCTGTAAAGCTGATTAAAAAATGTTTTATAGGCTACATTAATTATTTTCAATCATGTTCCTTATGCTTAAGTGAAGATTGTTATCTTTACTTATGTGGAAGCACGCTTAACATTTTTGGACATTTAAAGACACTTTTAACCATTTTCTTCGGCTATTTTTTTTTACAGATTGTATATACTAATCATAGGATCGAGACAATTATAAGCACCAAATAACTGATGATAAAAAATATTGAGTAAGAAAAGTATAACTTACTCTCAAACGACCATTTGTTTAGCTCGAAGTAAAGGTCTTTAATCCTTCCATTGACGTTTATTTTTCCAATTCTCCCCATGAAGTCCATCAACACCTGTACATTTACAGACACAAGCCGTCAGTAATCGATCATATAAACACATATAAAATACACATTATGGTATTTAAAGCCTCTTACCTCATTTATTTTGCGGTCAAGCTTCACTACCTCTGTGGGTTTCATGAGTTTCTGCTGGAAAACGCTCCTGACCCTCTGCCAGTCTTTCCCCTCCCTGCAAACACAAACAGCTTTAAAACCTTTGCGCACTTTAATCCGACAATTTACGGACACATTTCTATATGAAGAAATGAAAAGTGTACTTACAGAAGGAGCAGTCCGTACGCCTCGTCTCTCAGATCTCTGTATGCTGTCCACGGTTTGATCTCCAGTCTCTGCGGGTACTTGCCCTCCTTCCTGTAAAGCGACTCCAGCAGGCAAGGTGAGCTGATGTTCACCGAATCAAAAAAGCCCAGCTTCATCCGGAAAATCTTCCCATATTGCTTATGATAATCAACCTGAAATATATTTTTTAATGAGTCAACATGGCGTTTAAAAACGCGCAATTATTGTAGAAAATATGTTGTCAAGTTGTTAGTTTTACTGTACCAGTGCCTCGTGTTGCCTGTTCAGACCTCCTTTCCGATGCAGTTCGAACATGCTGCCGACGAACGGCCACTTGGTAGGTCCCGGGATCGCGTCCAGGCTGTGCGCCCTGGAGGCAGCGTGAGGGCAGCGCACAGCCTCCACAGCATCCTTCTCCTCCAGCACGCACACTGAGGATGTGGGCTTGAAGTGCTGTAGTCCGACAGACTTCTTTTTCAGGAACTCAACAATCTGAGGAACTTTTTGGATTTGAGCCCTCATCCTCAAATCGATTATTATTTCTCTTTAAATGTTCAACTGTAGCTCTTCTTTATAATCTTGGAGGTTTCTCGTTTCTTGGAAGTATCACACCTTACCGCACTATATATACCCTGAGAGTGTGTATTCCTGCCATGCACTGAACCAATCAGAGGCCGGTCCAACATCGAGCCCACCTTTCATTTATCCACGTTGGGAGGTCCGCATGACCCCTGATAGACCGAGGAAGTC